GTACAGCATCTATCTAATGTGCTAATATATCACACATCAGTGTAAGATGATATGCAGGGAGAAATGACAAAGTATTATTAGGACTTAATAGCTATATCACTAGTATATCGAGCAGCGAGACATGTTACGCTGAAGATAAATAATTCGTATCGTAACAGCATACAATACTCTCGCCAGTAATATCTGGGGAAAATGATACAGAATATATAGTGTGTTTGTGTATCGTTGCGAGATAAGTACTTATTTTTTATTTAGAGATCAGTATGATTAAGTGAGCACGCGCACATTACGACACGAGTAAGTGCACGGAGAGAGAAATGACGAGAGAGATGAGAGGGAGAGCACACACACAGTATTGAGCGTTAAAGAGGCGTGTGAGTCGAGTGGAGAGATCATAGTGAATTTCAATTGCTAATCTTTTAGTCCATTGTTCATGGTTGGTTAGTGTATTTCTAACTGGGGTTTGTGGGCTCACCCTATATGGGAATAGTCATTTTTTCAGGTACAGGTAGCATGCCACCTCCAAGGTCATAGCTTGGGAAGGCGTAGAGGCGGGCAGATTTTTTGTTTGTTTAAGTTTCCTTTTGATGTATTAAACATGTATTATTCAACGTCCGAGGGCTTATGTGTAGAGTGAGTTAGCACTCTTTTGTTTTGTAAGCCAGAAGTGGGGTTTTAACTTGAAAGCTGTAAGTCGTAGGAAAATTTTACCTTTTGTCATTAACAATGCAATAGCTTTTGTGATGAAACTCTGATGAATAGAAGAATGTGGAACTTTTGTATATCAATGCATGTCTCTATTGATGGGTTTAATGTTATTATTTTGAGGGCGTTACAATTTTTTACTATGAAATTATTTTTTTTAGATTTTCTATAAAAATAATTTAACAATAGTGTATGGGAGAAATTGAAAAGAGTGTAATAGTAGGTATGAGAGAAATCAAAAAGGCTTGTGTGTTGGGAGAAATCAATAAATGTTGAGGTGTTTTTTTTTTTTAAATCAAAAAATTAGAAAATTAAGATTGGAATATTGGAGCTTCCACAATGCTTGTGGGTTAGAAATTCCCTTTGCTTTATATAATACTAGCATATCATCCGTGCTATACACGGATTGTATTTACAATTATCTATATATGTGAATTGTGATTTTTAAATATATTTTTTAAATGTCTAATGTCTTTTTTTTATTATATTATATTAAAGTTTAATATTTTGATAATAATCATATGTGTTAGACTAATCATATGTGTTGAGACTTTTCAAGGAATTCATATGTGTTGGATTTCAAAGAATTTTTTTAATGCTTGTTCTTAATGCATTAAAGTGTTATTATGAGAGTAAGAATTGAGAGTTGGGAGAAGTTAATTAATGCTAAGATTTTTTTTTAAATAAAAAAATCAAGAAATTTAGATTGGGATATTGGAACTCCCACAAAACTTGTGGGTTAGAGATAGATATAAATAAATAGATAGATATAGATATAGATATTTATATTTGTTTTAAATTTTTTTTAATATACAAATTATTTGTTTTGGAAAAGGTACTGTACTAATTATAAGAGAAGTCAAAAAGTCTTGTGGGTTGAAAGAAGTTAATAAATGTTAAGGTTAATTTTTTTTTTAAAAAAAAAAACAAAAAATTAGAAAATTAGGATTAGCATATTGAAGCTCCCACAGGCCTTGGAGTTAAAACCCTTTTTTACTTAATATATAGTATAGATGCTAGCACAAAAGAGTTCAAATAGGATTTTGAGAGACTTAGCAAATAGATTTCCTAACCAAACTAAGCATAAACAAAGACCGATGTAGAGCTGAGTATACCTAACCAAACTTAACATAAACAGATACCAAGATAGAGTTGAGAACAAATTTTCAAGAGGACACCCACCCATTACCTACTACTCTGATGCACAGTCCCTATATATTAATATATAGAATAAAGAGAACTCAACAAGTAGTAATCTTCTTAAGTTCGTGTTATCATTCAGTTCTTCATCCCTCAGCTTACTCTTCACCAATTCCTTCTCTTGAATTGCATACCTCGTAGGTTGCATACAGGGCCGGCCCTGGCCTAAGGCCAGTAAGGCCTGGGCCTTAGGCCCCAAAATTTTGGCCCAAAAATAGGGCCCCAAAATTTGGTAAAATACTATAGGCTCAATGTTTTTTTTTTTTCTTTTTGGTTTTAGGATCAATTTAAAGGGCCCCAAAATATTTATTGGGTCCATATATGGTTTGGCCCATACTTATTTATAAGTGTAGTTTTTTTGCTTATATTTATTAAAATGAAAAAATATATATAAAAAAAAATGTTTGGGCCCAAGAAAAACAATACATACAATATATGGGCCCTATTTTTTATTTTTTTTTAACCTTCTTTATCTATTAGATTTTAGTAGAATAAATAATTTTGCCCAAATTTTTTTATCTAAGTCTTTATCAGTTTTAATTGAATAATTTTTTCCTAATTTTTTTGCCCTAATTTTGTTTCATTGCATTGTTTTGTTTATAATTTTAATGATTATATAAGTAAGTAAATTTATTTGTGGCTATAAATAAATAAAAAAGTTATAACTTTTCGTTTATTCATGAATTTTTTTTTTTTTTAAATGTAAGAGGGACCCCATTTTCAAAGTTCGCCTTAGGCCCCTGAACCTCAGGGCCGGCGTTGGTTGCATAAATCCTTACCAATAAATAAATAAAGTAATAAACAAACACATAAAACAAGTAAAACTATGTTACTTCTGAGATTTACTTCGTCTTCTATACAACATTTCAAACTATTAAAAGACAAGAATCAGCGCCTCTCCCGTCTTGACCTTTCCTAATTACATAGACAACATCATGCCAACAAAACATACCAAACTTTCAGATAATCACTGACTTGGGTTTGCTCACGTAAGCAGAAGGATATGGAAGGATACAAAACATAACAAACACGGTGTAGAATGATAAATGGTGGTACTGCTCATAACTTGAACAGCTAACATCTGGAATGCACATGCCCTTGTTCGACACTGATCCAGATAGCTTTGAGCAATAAATTAGGGCTCAGTGAGACTAAACAAATGAGTTATGCTAGAGACCCCAAATGAATTATCAAATATTCTATCAAATCTCTCACATGAGTGTGAGACCCATACAAATCACATGCGTGTGGATCCCACACCCATGTGAGAGATTTGATAGAATATTTGGTAATTCATTTAGAGTCTATAACATTTTCCTTAACAAATCTGTGTAGTATAAAAAAACGTAGAAGAAAATATGTAAACTTCAAAATCTAGCAAGAAGAAAGAATCCTGATAACTCAACAGCTTAAAGCATCAAACTACACAAAACAAAACAAAATCCAAAAAAATAAAGAAACCAAAACTGCCACCAAAGTGTCATAATAGGTTTACCTTGATAAAGCATGCACATCTCATACCAGATCTAAAATTTAGCACACACTTTTCCCATTGGAAAAAATGGACAAGTAATCGAAAAGCTAAGAGCAAACTGCAAAAGTTGCGCAAGATCAAACTAGCAAGCTAAGTTGCAAAAAGTGAACCACAAACTCCAGGACACACTTAAACAGTCTATTCTACTGTCCCTTTTCTGGTTTATTTCTCCTAACCATGCATTGAGATTTTTACCTTCAATACTAATACCAATTTTTACACGGTAGCAAGAAACGGGGACTTTATTCCTCATTGTACCACATAACATGATATACATAAATCTTGACTGGATAATCAAGGAAAAGCATAATTACAAAAAACAAGAAAGGAAGGGAAAAAAGGAAAGAAAAAAAAAAGGTACAAAAATAACAAAAAAGGTACAAAAATAACAAATAAGTTCAATTTGATCAGAATAGTTTTCAAAATCACTTCAAAGTTCAGATTACCATTTGTTGCACTGTAAAAGAGCAAAAGAATACTTGCTCAGACTACAAAAATTAAGTCTTCCTGAGAAGAAAAAACATTGTAGGTACATCGATTTGTATCTCATAGTTCATTGTGTTTGCTATGTATTATTTGTCAAATATATATACACTAGCAAATTACTCGTGCCTAAAGGCTCTCCCAACACAATTTGTCACAATTAAAACCACTTACATCTTACTCTATTGACTCCCTCTGTCCCCAGTTTAGTTTATTCATGAATCATTTAAATTAGTAACAAAATTTCAGACAAGAAAAAAGGTTGTGCACAACCTAATAATCAATTTCAATTTATTAAAATATAATTATGGCCTATCATATAATTCATAGTCTTCGATAAAATAAAATAAAAACCAATTAAAACTGTAAATCAATTCAATATTTAATTACTAGTAGAGATATGAAGCATGAATAGTCACTATATCAAGATACAAAGTGATAACAAATTGTATCGATATTAGAAGTAATAATTGATAGAAATCAGATAATTGTGAAATCTTTCAAATCATTGGCACTTCCTAAGCAGACTAACCTAAACCCAACAAAAACAAACCATTCCCAACACAACTTGACCTCAAACAAAACATCCTCTAACAATAATGTTGATCACATATCATAAAAAATCAAATTTGTATCCAAAATTAATCTAATCAATAAGTTCCCCAATAATAAAGAAAGATAAATATGGTACGATCAAGCTTCCAAGTTCTAACAACACTTCCTGCTAGAATCATTAATATGTTTGTTATCCAAATCCCACCTGCAATTTGCAATAGAAAAATAAGCAATTTAGTTTCATGATGAAAAAAGAAAAACTTAACTTTAAAGTAAGGGATAGCACACATGCTGCAAATTCTCAACAATCAAGTTGCATGCTCCGAGAACCAACATGTAATAAATACACACGAAAATTTTATGCTGAGAATGACATAAAACCTGACATTATAGTCTCCTATAGCAATAGCAACAACATCCTACTTGGGCAATTTGACTGCATCAGTTCCAAAGTAGACCAAAAATTATAGACTCGATTACTAACTTTATGCCCAACACCTCTACCGGTGCAAATCCAATGCCTCAACTCAACCATAAAATATCCACCAGTAAAATACCAGAAGAATCATAGAATATCCAAGAATTTAAATTCATTGAGACATGAACTGAGGACAAAAGCAAGTGCGGTTAATAAATAATCTAGTGAATTCATGGATCATTCAAGTTGAACTGATGTATCCAGTAAGAATTTAGCTCGTAGGTGCAAATCCAGAACCTTTATGCCCAACACCTCTACCGGTGCAAATCCAATGCCTCAACTCAACCATAGAATATCCACCAATAAACTACCAGAAAAATCACCGAATATCCAAGAATTTAAATTCATTGAGACAAGAACTGAGGACAAAAGCAAGTGCGTTTAATAAATAATCTAGTGAATTCATGGATTATTTAAGTTGAAATGATGTCTCCAATAAGAATTTAGCTCGTAGGTGTGGTTAATAATACGAATTCATGGATCTGCTAAAACAGAAGGAAAAATAATATTGATATTCATAAGATAAAGCTTCCCTTTGGAATTTTACCACACGGAAAAAATCATATACATAAGTTTCCTTAATTTTGGCTTAGTATCAAATGCATGTCCTTTTATCATGGATGTTAATCTCTAAGTTACATATCAATTTTTTCTTTTAATCATTTTTTGTAAAAGAACTAAAGCAAAAGTTCATTTTCATCCACATAAATTCATGACTCTTGCAAAATCAATGTGTTGAATCACATTGCATTAAAGTTCATGACCCAACAATTATAGAATTTGGTGGAGATCATAACTCATTCATTACATTGAAGCCCCAATTAAATTAGCAAAGTAAAAGAATCCAATTCAATTGACAAACATTCAGCACATGAAATTGACTAAGATACAAAAATACATTCAAAAGAACCCATTAAGAAATAGACTTGGTTTGGATTTATTCATGTATATATAAATATTGTCTAGAATTACTTTTATTCTTGTATTAGTCCTTATTTTTGTTTTCTGTTCATGTGTCATTCATGTTATTTTTATGTATATCACAATTTAATTTACTTATGCTCCATGTTTGTATCCATTCTTGTTTGTTCATCATCTGAAAACAGGAATATTATCGCGAATTGTTTCGAGTCGTGGAGTTCAAACCTAGTCTCAACCCTTTAGTGGAATAAATATAAGTGATTTCGAGCACCAAATATGCCTTATTTGTAAGTGTCAATTAATTACTTTTTATCTTTTTCAAATCAAATAGAGCTTGCAATAAAAATTTCTCCAATGGAGAAGATCAGTCGCCTTGAAAAGGCAATTAATCAGTTGAGTGGGGTATGATGTAGTCGATTTTGAGAATCTCTCTATACCCCGGAATTAGGCTCTGTATGATTTTAAGTGGCCATAGATAAGTATACTAGACCAAATGCATAACAAAATAATATAAAAAGAGGTTTTTGTTTACGTTTGACATGACATTCTTAGTGTTCAGGGTAACTACACATCGAAACATATATTTTTAATTACGTAAAATTTAATGTATAAAGAGAAATAGAGAATTGTATTATTGATTGATTTATTTTGATCTATTACAATGATTCATGATTCCTATATATAGAAGAGGGTGAGTGTGTTGTAGGTAAGGAGTAGGTGAAGTGGAGGTGGTAGTGGTGTAGTGGGTTAGGTTTAGTGGAGTAGGTGAGGTGGTAGTGTTGTAGTGGGTTAGGTTTAGTGGAGTAGGTTTAAGTGGGTGAAGTAGGTGGATTTTAACAGAAACATATATTTTTAATTACGAAACTTGTCAAAACTAAACTGCGTAATATACCTGTCACCTCTTCAGCATTTGAGAATCCCATATATTGCTCAATCAAAAGTTGTGATCCTTTGTAAGGCTCTGGTCAATTTAGTAAAACATTTATATACATCATCAAACTATTGCAAAGCTAGAACCATGAATTGCAAAAATTACGTTGGAACTTCGTTAATTATAAATACAAAATAAGAAAGAGAAAGTTAGAGCAACATTCATACCTCAAGTATAGTAGATAATCAAATCATAAACGCCTTATCCCAAGCTTAATGGCAATCACAACGGGAGTCCATCGTTGGCATGATAATTTTTTTCGCATATATCGGTTTCTTGGTTTGGTTGTTTTCTTTACCTGAGCTTCCACAAAGGTGGTAGACTGAGAACCCAAGGGTGCTCGCATTGTATGGAACGATCGAGTCAGTAACGGCAAAGTCGGTGAACCATGTTGAACGCCAGTATGAACAATAATTGACTTTTGCTAGAACAAGAAACAAGGAAAACATCACAAATCAAGAGAAGAAGATATGCAGCGCGTGCGTACGCGCACACACAAAAAAGGAAAAGATAAAGAAGGAAAGGAAAGGGAGATATTGGCAAAACGCAGAATGAGATTGGGAGGGGAGGAGTTTTGGGGTTCAGGGGAGATCGGAAAAGGGTGCTGGAAAATGGAAGCATCCAGTAAAAGTGAATAAATGGCATTAACAGTATGGTTTGAATGCCCAACCTTAATTTGGCACGTGTTGGATGCCATAGGGACGATGTGGATCTTGACTAAATATGGGCTAGAGCATATATGAATTTATGGGCTTAGAGCAATCTCCATTAAAGATACATTTAACACACGTATTTCATTAATTGTATTCATCCATTGTCAAGCTCATTCCATATCATATTTCTCTAGGGGCATCTATGCTTAGGGTCATTCATCACACAGCAGATTCATTCCATCTTGACTGCTAGGGAATATCAATAGACTTTGCGTTAAACACATCCTTGTAAAACCTACAGATTGATGCAAGTAAAAGCGATGCAAAATATAAGAAGCTCAAGGACATTAGCATGATTTCAAATAAAAATTTATGGAATCTTATATAATTATGTTTCTAGTATTATTAGAGTCTTATTTTATGATTATTTTTATATTTTCTATGATTTTTAGGTTAGGGGTATTTTGATAATTTTTATATACTAACATGGGCTGTAGGGGTCTCCCATGGTTTGACAATTCTGCTAGTTTTATGTAAAGCCATGTCATGTTTATAATTTAATAGAATTGATATTTTATAGAATTTTCAGAACTTCGATGCTTCTTTATACATTGTGTGATGCAATCAAACCCTAGGTGTGATGCCTAAAGGGTTCTAGGAGTGATTCCTAGACCTATCTCCTTCCTTTCTTTCTTTCTTAAATTTCAACCCTTTTACAGCCCCAGAACAGCCTCTTACAGTGCTGTCCTGCATCAGTTTGGTATCAAAGCTTAAGGTTTCACCATTATGTTCTCACCAAGTGGGGGATCCTATGTGCCACCATATGTTATACCCCATAACAAAGAAGTTCCAGATTTTAAAGGAAGGGATGATCCTATGGTGATCCCTAATTGGCTTTGTTTCAATTGAGGAATATTTTGATTGCTATGATTGGACAGATGATCGAAAAGCGAGATTTGCTACGATGAAACTTGTAGGTTTGGCACAACTATGGTGGTATCATGTTGAAGAACATATAATACTCTGATGAATGAGATAATGAATTGCTTTCTTTTAATATTGCATGTCAGTGATATATATATTATAGGTTTATTTTGAGGGCGTTACAAAAACTACTCGTTTGGCAAGTGGCTGTTTTAGCCTAAAAGCCGAAAAGTTACTAAAAAAACCAAAAAGCCAACAACTTATACCAAAAAGTCAAAAATTCTCTTTTCTCTCTACTTTTTGCACATCTTTTCGTAAAAAACCAAAAAGTCATCCCAAACATACTAATTTTTTTTACCTCATATTTTAGCCAAAAAGCCAAAAAGTTACTAAAATAGCATATTCCCAAACGAGAAGTTTCAAGAGAAGTATATGCCTTCAAATAATCTTGTTGAGTCACATGAGCAACTTGTTAATTCAAAACATGGCAACACATTGTTTGAAGAGTACATGCAAAGACTTGAGGCACGTGACACTCAAAATCAAGTTGTGGTTGAATCATGTCAAAAACTTTTATCTAGTCTTAAGTTGACTTAAGAAGTCTCCTAGGTCTATATAAAGCCTGTAATGCTTCTAATTTAATAGAATCAATATTTTAGAGAATTTGAAGAGCTTTGAAGCTTTCTTATAGATTGTGTGATGCAATCGAACCCTAGGGGTGATACCTAACGGATTCTAGGAGTGATTTCTAGACCCATCTTCTTTTCTTTTCTTTTCTTTCTTTTCTTTTTTGAATTATTTTCTTCTTTTCTGTTTCAGTTTACTGTTCACAAGATACTATTCACAGCTCCTAAATAGCCTCTATTTTGATCTTTTTCACCCAGTTTATCAATCCTAAACCTAGTTCATTTCATTTATTAATTGAACTCATAAATTTCCTATTGATTTTCAGCTTTAAGAAGCCATAAAAACCCACAGAAATTCAGTTTTAAAGTCCTTAGAGCGCTGTCCGTAATTGTCCTGCATCAGTTTGGTACTAAAACCTAAGATTTTACCATCATTTTTTCACATTGTGGGAGATCCTCTACAAGTGGATTGACTTGGGAAGAGGGTAAAGCGCTTCTTAGAGAAAAAAATTCATCTAAAGGATCTTCAAGATGATTTTCTTGATCGGTTGTATGTTCCTGAGCAAGGTGATATGCATTTGATTGATTATGCAAGAAAATTCAAGAAATTATTTATCAAGTGTGGAGTAGTAGAAAGTCAACTGATGACTATTGCTCGTTTCAAAAGTGGATTGAGATATGGAATCAAATAAGAGATGTCTCATGTATATATGGAAGATCTCAAAGATGCTATTGCAATGGCAACACAATTTGAATTTTTTTGTATAACTTAAAAAGAAACCTACAATTTTGAAGCTTGTGCAGACTGCAAAGGCTGTCCAGCAAGACCAACCAACAAAAACTCCAAAACAAAGGGTTAAAGTGCAACAGAAAGATGCTGAAAATTCATAGCAAGATGCACCACGCAGTTGAAGTTTCAAAGCAAGGAATATGTTTAAAATCTGCCTAACAAGAATAATGGACAGATTATGAATGATACGAAGCCACTAATTGAAGCCCATGTATTTATAATTATTTTATGTTTTCTAAGATTTTAAGGCCACGAATATTTTGGTAAACTCATAATTTTCTAGACATGGGTTATTGTTTTGGTAATAGAAATGAGACTGGAGAGAGTATTTTAGATTTTGTGTGCGCTTCTGACCTGGTGGTGGCCATTACTATGTATAAGAAGAGAGGGGAGCATTTGATAACATGTAAAAGTGGGTCAATTTGGAGCCAAATAGATTAATTTCTAGTAAAAAAAGTGAACCGTCTAAAATGTAGCGACTGTAAGGTGATTCCTGGAGAAAGCCTGACGTCTCAACATAGGATTTTGGTACTAGATTTATACTTTAAAGGGCAATACCAAGCTAGGAAATATAGTGGGTGTCATAGGATGAGATGGTGAGACTAAATGGGGATAAATTAGAAATATTTACAAAGAGAATAAACAAAGAAGATACTTGGGACTTGGAAGATGATGCTAACACTATATGGAACTCGATGACCAATTGTATGAGGAGAATTTTAAAGGAAGTCCTTGGAGAGTCGAAAGGAAAGTGACCCAACTCTAAGGAAATTTGGTGGTGGAGGGAGGATGTTCAAGTGGTAATAAAGACGAAAAATAGTGCTTTAAAAAGTGGCAGAAAGATAGAACTGAGGAAAACCTTAAGAGTTACAAATTGGCTAATATGGAGGTCAAAAAAATAGTGAGAGAGACTAAGCTAAAAACTTATGATGATCTATACACTGAACTAGTTAGTAAAGAGGAAGAGAAAAGAATATACAAACTAGCTAAAACAAGAGAGAAAAACAACAAATTTTAATCAAGTTAAGTACATCAAGAGTGAGGATTCTAAGGTGTTTGTGAAGGATGAAGAGATTAAGGAGAGGTGAAAGAACTATTTTGAGAAGTTGAATGAGGAACATGGAGGAATGTCAAAAGGGGAGGAAGTGGCCAGTAATAAAGAAAACCATGACTACAGGTTCTATCGCAGGATTAGGAACTTTGAAGTGGAGTTTGCACTTAAGATGAAATTGAATAAGGCTTTAGCACCCGATGATATCTCTATTGAAACTTGGAAATGTTTGGGTAAGAAAAGGGTTGCTTGGTTGACTAAGTTATTTAGTAAGATTTTGTTGACTAGGAAAATGCTAGAGGAGTAGAGGAAAAGTATTTTAGTGTTGATTTATAAGAATAAAGGAGATGTCTAGAATTGCAACAATTATAGAAGAATCAAGCTAACGTGTCATATAATGAAAGTGTAGGTGAGAGTGATGGAATGTCGATTACGAGATATAACAGAGGTGTCAGATAATCAATTTGGATCTATACCTGGTAGGTCAATAATAGAAGCAATCTATCTTTTGAAGAGAGTAATGAAAAAGTATAAAGAAAAGAAAAGAGACATTACTATGGTTTTTATCGATCTTGAGAGAGCATATGATAAAGTGCCTCGAGATATAATCTGGTGGGTGTTAGAGAAGAAATGGGTGACAAAAGGTTGCATTAATGTGATTAGGGACATGTATAAAGTTCTGGTGACCACTATTAGATCGCCTGCTGGAGAGATAAGTGAATTTTCAATTACTGTAGGGTTACACCAAGGATCAACCTTAAGTCCTTATCTTTTTGCTTTAGTCATAGATGAGTTGACGAGAAATATTTTGAATGATGTGCCATGGTGTCTGTTTTTTGCAGATGATATTGTGTTAGTTGATGAGACTAGAGGAGTTAACACTAAGTTGGAGACTTTGAGAGAATCACTTGAATCTAAAAGATTTAAGATAAGCAAAACTAAGACAGAGTACACGGAGTATAATTTCAGTAACAGTAACAATGGAAGCAGAGGAGAAGTGAAGATTGAGAACCAAGAACTACTTAAAAGTGAACATTTTCGTTATTTATGATCAATTATCACAATGGTTGGGGAGATTAGAGTAGATGTGGTCCATAGAATTAAGGTGAGGTGGCTTAAGTGGAGAAGTGCATCTCGGGTACTGTACGATAAATGAGTACCCACTAGACTAAAAGGAAAGTTCTATAGAATGACTATTAGACTAGCAATGTTGTATGGGACAAAATGTTGGGCAACTAAAAAACAACACCCAAATAAGATGAGTATTGTTGAGATGAGGACGCTAAGGTGGATGTGTGACAAGACTAGAAAAGATAGAGTTATGAATGAGTATATTCATGAATGGGCAGGAGTAGCACCAACAGAAGATAAGCTGAGAGAGAATAGATTGATTTGATTTAGTCATGCACAACGGACACCAACAGAGACAGTAGTGAAGAGATGCAATACAATGATAATAGAGGGAAGTGTTAGGAGAAGGGACAAACCTAGATTGACGTGGGCTAGTATATTAAATAGAGATATGAATCTCCTTAATTTGACTAATCAAATGGCTTTTGATAGAGTCGAGTGGAGAAGAGGGATTCATGTAGCTGACCCCATTTGATGAGACTTGAGACTTGGTTTGATTTGGGTTATCTGGGTCACCCATGGGTCGTCTCGCGGGTAAAGTTGTTTAATTAGTTTTGGTTTATATATCTTATTTAGTCTTAGATGGGTTTTTTAAAATTAAAGATTTATTAGTTTCCTTTTTTAGTTCTAGTTGGTTTAGGAAGTTTCCTAGTTCTATATAAAGTCATGTAATACCTATAATTTAGTAAAGTTGATATTTTAGAGATTCAGAGCTTTGAAGCTTTCTTATGGATTGTGTTTATGTGATGCAATCAAACCTTAGATGTGATGCCTAAAGGATTCTAGGAGTGATTCCTAGACCCTAGACATATCTTCTTCTCCTCCTTTCATTCTCTCTTAAATTTCAGCATTTTCACAGCCTCAGAACAGCCCCTAACAGCCTGTCCTGCATCAAATACTCGGTTACAACTATTATTTACTCTCCAAAACAGCCCCTGATCTCTTGTATTCCTGTCACCCTTACCAAAGTAGCCATCCTACATCAGGGATTTTCAAGGGTGAGGAATTGGAATGGGAGAGGCTATTTGGGGTGAGGGAAGTGCCAAAAATTGAGAGAGAGAGAGTAGTGCAAATGCTTCACATGGTGCATGAACAATGACTTAAGAGGCTGCCATCAAGCAAAGGTATAAGACAAGAACTGCATGTCTTCACATAACTAAGAAGTAGTAGGTCTATTTACAGGTCAGCTTCTGTAAGGTTCACCCTTGAAACCACCAAAAGATTTTGGCATAAATTTTCAGTTGGTTCCAACATGGTCTCAACTTTTCCCTCCCACCACAGCAACACATATATATAGATCATGACCAAAATATTTATATATATATATATAATATATAGAAAGATCTGCATAACTACAAGATATATATACACTCATACAACATATATTGGTTCCAACGTGGTCTCAACTTTGCCCTCCCACCGCAGCAACATATATATATATAAATCATGACCAAAATATTTATATATATAAAGATCTGCATGACTACAAGATATATATACACTCATACAACATATATAGACAAAAATAAAAAAGGAAATGGAAGGGAGATATTGGTGAAAACGAAGAGAGTTCAGTGAGGGGAGAAATAAGGGGTGAGGGGCAACAAAAATCCAAAGGGGTGAGGGGAGTGACAAGTTCTGAGAGAACAAAACAAGATTTTATTTCCACTCAAAGAACTGAAAGAGAAAGAGTTCCCCTCCAAAACATGGGAAAGGGCAATTTATCAAGACATCTAGCTCACAATAAAGTTAGGGTCTGATGGAAATGACAAAAGGGGAGAGAGAGAGAGAGATCATTATAGCATTCAATTCAATCTATATCCCAATGAGAGAGATGATGATAACCCTTAAGGGTAGTCATCTCTCAACAACCAATGGGATTGTGAGATGCTATGAAGCATGCTTCTTTGAATTTACTCTTTCTTGAGTTTCTTATACCCTGCATCATGTGTACTTCAAAAAAATGCCATACCCATACCCAGTATATATTGGGTACTAATACTTTGCAAGGTACTTCACATGCATATCGGGCATTCAACACATGAACCCACATTAGTACCTAGTATATACCTAAGTCATGCCTCAACTAGAATAGTACTTTCTTATATACATAGATGAAGTTGGCTGGATGGGACTTTTTCTATATTAGCATGTTTCTAGAATTAAGCTTAGGTTTGTAGGTTCTTTAATGTAATACCATAAAACTCCAATTTGTACCATACTTTTGACATTAAGGAGGTTTGCATTTGGTTTTCTGACTGTGATATATAATGCAATATAAAATACTTTTACATATAGTGCATTATAAATAAGACTTATTTTTTTTTTTCAAACGTACCCCAATTGTCCCCGTACCCTACGTCCTTTAAGTTTTTCCATGTTATGTACCCATATAATACTTGTACCAGCACCCATATACAAGTTTTATGGGCGCTCTTTATCCGTTGGACATAACATGTAATTTCACGGACCAATAAGGTTTTACCATAAATAAAAACATAGGTTTTCGATGTTGTATTTGTCTAAGACTCGAGATCTGTGCCACATCAAAAGATCATACATTATAAGCAATCTAAACAAGTTAATTGTTACAGACAAATTCAGAATTGCTCCAAAAACTTTCCTCACCAGGGTAAAAAATTAACAAATAAAGAGGTAATCTTCTCACCTTTGCATTGTCATTCACTTTCCCGTCTCGCAACTTCCTCGTTACCAGTGCCCTGGTATTAGTTGCATACTTTGTAGGTTGTATATATCCTTCCAAAATATACACATAAATAAATAAATACCACGCATAAAACAAGTGTAACAACATTTTTTTTTTTTCTTTTTTTGTGATTTACTTCCTCTTCCTTTTCCTTGATATATGGTACACTTAAAAACTGTTAAAAGGCAAGAGTCAGCCACTCACCTAAATGCCTCTCGGGTCTTGACCTTTCTCAATTAGCCAGTATCATGCCCACAAAACAAAACATTCATCAATACTAATAATGGTAAGTATTTGGAGAAGTGGAGTTCAATTAATTAATAACATTTTTCCATCAACCAAAGAATGAAAGACAATATGAAACAAATATCCAGAAAGGTGGTATGAAAAGAATGTCAAAATCCCAGACCAGAGCTTGCTCAAATTAACGCCTTTGTACTTTGGCAGTAACCTTGCTCCCTGGAGCAGCCAAGAAAAATCTACAGCCACCTGCTCTTCTGCCATCTGTCACGGAACACCAAATAAATTGAAAAGAATTGAGTGCTCTAAGAAGGGAAAACAACAAGGATACAACAAGATGGGAACAGTTACATATGTTGTGAAGAATCCTACAATGAAAGAACGAAAAAGAAAGAAATATAAAAACACAAATCAGGATGATGCATATTAAAAAATAATGTGAAAAATACAAAAATTCAGCAATCCTACTTACAATCCTACCGCGATCCCATACGATCCTACTTGCAATCCTGCTATAGCACTGATCCTACACCGATTTGGATTGTTTTGACAATTTAGGATCGTAGGGTCGTATGATCCTACGATCTGGATCGTGATTTTAATAACCATGGACCAAACACAACAAAAGGAAAAAGAAATAAATAAATAAGTCATGCACGCCTTTCGACGCACCAACACATTTGACTTGACCCCTCTTTTCATGTGGCATGAATATCTTATGTTTTGGGGTCATGAATCATCGAGGTCTGTAATGACCATATATCGTTTTTCCCATAATGTCATTTGCCCACAAATTGCCAAAATAGACCAATTCATACAAAGGAGTAGCCACCTAATTTTATGGGGAACTAGACAACCATTTAACTCCACTTAATTTAGGTCACTAATCTGTCACAATCAAATAACTTGGTTCGGGAGTTTAGGTACGAAAAAGGAAGGTCATTAATTTGAATGCACCTCTTGCACAACCAATTGATTTGCCTCTACTAATTCCTTTTCATCAGATTTATTTTCTTATTTGATTTCACATACTCAATTTAATTCACCTGATCCTTTAAACTAACTTACCATATAGCAAAAGGTAATATCACTTATTTTGGAAATTTTCCATACTTCTCATGATTTTTTTCCCAAAAATAATTTTAGGAAACTTTCCTTTTTTCTAAAACAAATAGTTTTCAAAGAAGTAAGAAAAAAATCCAACTTAGGCAATATTACTCAAAACACTCGAAACAAACATGGATATAGCAAGTAAGGCATCCAAACATGTTATTTGAATTAAAAGACAATGCAAACACAAGCAATCTAAAAAAAGGAGGGAAGATGACTGTTGGCTTACAAATTTCAACCAAATTTATGTTCAAATTTCAAATACGGTCAATCAATCAATGACACGTATAGAGCCTACGAAAGGAATGTTGTATCTCAACGACGTTATTCAAGATACTCAAACAACACGTGGAGCCTACAAGACTTGAAGTACAATATGCTCAACCAAATGATGACACTTGTGGAGCCTACAACAAGGATGAAATCCAAAAAATCAATACGGTTAATCAGATATGATTACGCCTAAATTCAAACGGTGTTATCATACAATTTGAAATTCAAAATGAAGATAAGATGCTCTTATCACATAGATGACCCTCTATAAATATGAGGACCATCACATCAAAGGAAGGAGGAGAAATCAAAAGATCAGAAATCAAGAGAAAAGAAGATCAAAGGATCAAAAATCAGATACTAGAGAGAGAAAGAAATCAGAAGTCGAAAAAGTCTTCACACGGAAGAAGAAGAGAAACCAAGAGAACTTGAGAGCCTACATTGCAAACATCTGATACAATGGCAAGTGATAGGTAAAGGGTTCCAAACCCAACAGTTGTATCTTGTACCTAAGGGTTCTAAATCCTTATAATTTCAATAAAACAATTCTTTTCCTTAAATTGTCTTCTGCTAATTTTTTAACCTTCGTTAATCGGACGTTTAGTTTTAATTAAAATGTGTAATTAATGATTTGTAATATAGATCAGAAAAAGGAGCCTAATATCAAATAATCAACACAGTTTAAACTAAAAACCAAATAGTGGACATTTGTAACACAAATTCCGAAATGTGTTGAACACTTCATGTTTCGAAATTTGTGTCTACAATGACTCACTGCCGTTCCTCAGCTCAGTACACAATATACATGACCTAAAGCATGGATTTTAATGCAAAAATATATAATATGAACCTAAGGGCTCGGTAGACATCTAAACATGGGATATATGCATAGAATCATGATTTTAAACAAATAAAGCATCTAAAAACAAAGAAACGCAGCAAGATAGATGAATAAACAGCGAGTATCCAGGCCCATATGCATGAATATACAAGTTATGCAACCTAAACGAATGATACAATGCAAATAAACAATAAAAGAAAACAACGATAAAATCTAATGATAAAATTTATGGTTGTTAGTGGATTTCCATGCAACGCAATCAACAGTGATTAACTAGGCATTTGATTGTTCTTTGTAATTCCCAAGTATCATTAACTCTTGTAGACATCTAAACATGGGATATATGCATAGAATTTTGATTTTAAACAAATAAAGCATCTAAAAACAAAGAAACGCAGCAAGATAGATGAATAAACAGCGAGTATCCAGGCCCATATGCATGAATATACAAGTTATGCAACCTAAACGAATGATACAATGCAAATAAACAATAAAAGAAAACAACGATGAAATCTAATGATAAAATTTATGGTTGTTAGTGGATTTCCATGCAACGCAATCAACAGTGATTAACTAGGCATTTGATTGTTCTTTGTAATTCCCAAGTATCATTAACTCTTTATGATGCTAGAAACACAAGGAGTACTTACACCCTCATCTTGTTGCTGCCGAAGCCGAATATATGTTTCGATAGTGTCACCCGCCATCTCAAAAATGTCAAGCAGCTCTACGGTAGACATAAATGTCATCTTCTTCTCCTTGCAGTCCCGAATCAATTTTTTTTCATTGCAGAATGTAAATTTGGACTCCTCATAAGTTAGTGCTGCCAACTTACGATATACATTGGCGGATCGACATGCCTCCATTCGATGTAGAACCATCTCCAATCTGATACAAGATTGGAGCCACCTTTTCCCTAGCAGTCACTAGAAGAGCAGCAAGCTCTACAACTTTTCCCTCCTTTGCATATTGACAAATTTCTAACTCAGCCTCTTTGGTGTTCAATACAAGCAGCCTGATACCTTTTGTCTCATCTTTCTGCAGGAAATTTTAAATCTAAAAATCAGCAAGCTTCATAACATATATATATATTCTAATCAACGCCATCACAATGTTTGTGAACTAGTACAAAGATAAAATCAACTATTCAAATTATTAGAGAGACGCAGAGACAGAGACATACAGAGAGAGAACCTTACTGAACCTGCTGCACAGGAGTACAAGCATCTCAAAGAGAGGTCTGCTAGGATTCCAGCCTTCATAAAATATATTGTGGCTGCAAAAAGAAATGTGAGCAAATCTATATTATATTAAATGTGCTCCTCCTAAGAAAGGTAACTGAAAAAATACGAATGGAGATGAGTAAACAATTAAAAACATCGATCATAGTTCCATACGCTAACGACTGAAGAGCTGCATTCAGCGGCAGCTTGCCTTCTAAGCTTGCATTATTTGGACCAAGACCATAACACCTGTGATCCAATGGAGCTCCATGGTGAATAAATAACTCAATCAAGGCACCATCACAAGTTTCAGCCAAGGAATGCATCACCGGCAACCCGAGAGAGAGAGTGCAGTAGAAATCCATGGTCTGACCCGTCTCTCCTCCAAGCAATGCGGTGGCACATTTAATGGCTCCGAATTGGAAAATCCAGTCCAAGTGCTGCGGCAAGACCACGGGATGTCTATCCCAATAGCGATTAATTCTGGACACAAATTTTTCATTGTCATCATCCAGGATTATGTCCTGAAATTTGTAGTCATCTTCTAGACAGAAGGCAAGCTCTGAATCAGAATTATCGCTGCAACTCTGACAATGTGGAAACAATTGAAAGACAGACCACAAAATATTTCAATACATTTGTTTAAAAACGAAATTCAAATGAAGAGCGCATACCTCATCATCTGAATCCATCAACACTTGCTAAAATTCAAGTTATCTTCACAAACACCTGTGCTTCACTAAAGGACTTATCAAAACCTTCATACCAGACCAATAACGATTTTAAAGAAGAGAAAGATGAAACCACAAAATGTGATGTTCAGAAGAGAAATAATCTGAGCAAAATGGAAACACCAACCTTCGACATAGTCGATCAATTTTCCAAATAAACTTTACAGAGACGGCAAGCAAGGGCGGAACTTTAAAATTGGGCCTATAAGCCATTTTTACTCCTTAGGTATTTGATTTTGGGATGAATTATTTTTGTAATTTTAAAAAAATTTATTAAAAAATATGTAAAAAATAGAAAGATAATATGTGATTCTAAAAATATAATAGCCAATTAATATAATCTTTTTTGTTTTTTTGACTATTTTAGTTTGACTAAAAAAATTATATTTGAAATCATAGTTTATTTTTTTACTTGATTTGATAATTATGAGAAGGAAAAAAAATAATTATAGATTATTGTTTGGGTACATATTAAAGTAATAACTTTATTACAGTATATTTTTTCAATCACATTACCTTTTTATTTTTTACACATTTTTTAATAATTTTTTTAAAATTACTAAAATAATTTATCCTAAAATCAAATACCGTCTAGAGGTGTAAAAATGACTCGCAAGTCAAAACCTGACTGCGGCCTGAGGTAAGTCCGCTCCGATTAAGCCCAATTAGACCTAGACCCGAGCCCAACCCGAGACCCGAGCCTAGCTCAGACCATTGGTTTTGTTGATGGTCTATATCCCACCATTTTTTCATGGCCTAGTGCCACATGGCCTCACTCTTCTCAACCCTTTTTATTATTCTTAGCTTTGTGTATATACATTCAAATAAAGTTCTGCCCTTGCAGTCTCTTTAAACTTTGTTTGGAAAATTGATCAAGTGTGTCGGAGGTTGGTGTTTTCGTTTTACTTAGATTATTTATCTTTTGAACATCACATTTTGAGGTTTCATTTTTCTCTTCCTTAAAATCTTCAGTATAGTAGTAACTCTGTTACGAGGGTTCTTTCTTCTTGCTAGATTTTGAAGTTTACATATTTTCTTTTCCCTTTTTTTAAACTGCACAAATTTGTTAAACCGTCTCACTGAGCCCTATTTTATTGCTCAAAGTTATATGCATCAGTGTCAAACAAAGGCATATGCATTCCAAATGTTAGTTGTTCAAGTTATGAGCAGTACCACCATTTATCATTCTACACCCTGTTTGTTATGTTTTGTATCCTTCCATATCTTTCTGCCTATTTGAGCAAACCTGAGAACCCGAATATACAAATAAAATAAATAATTAAATAATTATTATTTTACAAACCTCAAATATTTTACTTATGAATCTTAACGTGCAAACTAAATATTACTGAATGATCTTTTAATTAATTTTAAATCAAAAATAAATTTATGGTGAAAGTATTTAATTTAGAGGTAAGATTTATTATTAAAAAAAATATGAGACAAATTAGTTAGTATATTTTGATCTAGTAATAGTTGTATTTTATTTAAATCTATGGAGAGAGAAAATAAAATAAAATGAAAGATAATAATTTAGAGTCATTTGTTTAGATATATATATATATATATTGTGGGGATATATTTTCTGAGTACCAACACGTGGCAAGGTGACGCCGACGTGTCAGCCGAGGTGCCACGTGTCCTGGTCGTGACGTCGAGGTGATCTCGGCAAGGCCGAGGTTATCTCCGAAGATATCGGAATCCGAGATAAGTGGATAAGGGACAAGAGTCCTAGAATGAAAAGTGTGAAGCCCCTGAAAAATGTTTTCTCTTTAAAAACAAAAAAAAATAATGTTTAAATTATTGCTTAAAGCCCCTCAGTTACTAGACTTATTTCGAACTAGTGTCCATTCATAGTCTAACTAGTGTTCATTTAATTCTAGTTAGTGTTCATTTAATATCAATTAGTGTCTAGTGTTCATTTAATCCAACTAGTGTCCATTTAATGCCAACTAGTGTCTTTTCATAATCCAACTAAGTGTTTATTAGTGGGCTTTAATGAATCAATAAATCCTAACTTGTCTTTTCAATTCCAACTAGTGGGCTTTTATGCCATGTTACACCAAGTTTGCCTATAAATGTAGCTCACCTCTCAACTTCTTTCTATGGTTCTTCCCATATCTCTCTCCATTTGTTATATAGATTTAGAGTTTAGATTAAGAATGTTTGAAGTGAGAGTAAGCATTTTCATAAAGGATGAGAGTTGTAGATTTTGTGAAACCTTACATACCTTATGGCTTAGAATTTGGAGATTCATGGAGAAAGATCGAGATTCGAGTGTTGGAGACGGAGGAGATTGATTTGAGGTAATTTGGGTGGTATACAATATGCTTCCTCTAAATCTCTTTACAAAGAGTTTATGTTAATTACTTTCAATTTGTAATCCTCTTGATTATTGTGATCATTTGATAAATCTTGTGAATCATTGTCTGTTGACACGTTTGAGTACTCTGGTCATTTGATAAATTCTACGAAGTTGTTCTGTGTAGTTAATGTTGATTTGTCTGGCTAAATGACATGGAAATGCTCCGTACATGGATCGAGTAGACCTTACCAATAGCTTGGACCAATAGCCCAGATAAGCATTTGTGCTTGGGTGAGGTGGGTGAGGCCGGTCATTGGTCATGTACCGAGTAGGGCCGGGTATTTGGTTATGGATAAATTATCATATGTCGAGTTGACTTGTTTGTCCAATTTGGTAAATTGTTTGATTATCGAATCTAATCGGTTGTGTAATTGCTGGATCTCTGTTAATTTATTTTTCTGTCTGAGCCTCGTTATTCCTGTTGTATTGTATACTTCCCGAATTAATTTATTTTTCAGGCGTGGAGCAAATTTAGTGGCGGTTGAAGTTGAAGTATCTAAAGAGATTGTTTGAGTTGGAGATTCTTTTAGTCCACAACTATATATTATTTTTGGAGATTTGTATAATTTATGTTTTGGAGACATTTGAGTTAATTATTTATGGTGACGATTTGTATATTTGAGATTATGAGTTATCTGCAATTATAAATTTGTGGTTGATTTGATTTATTAACGACCCGGAAGTCAGGGCGTTACAAAAAGGGAACTCAACCTGGATGAGGGACAAGAGTCCTAGAATGAGAGAAGACTTCAGTTGGTATTAAGATAAGACTCTTAGAGAGTTTACCCTAATCTTACTGGGAGTCTAAGATTAGCAGTAATCCTGAGTCCATAGAAGTTAGGCTTCTATTGGGACTAGGTTTATGTTGGCTATAAAAGAGAGGCACCCCCTGGGTCTAAGGTATGCTTTTTAGGCTCAAGCTTGTTAGTTGAATAATTGATTATCTTTGAGAGATCTACTGACTTGATCGTCGAAGTGCTCCCGAGTGGACGAACCACCGCGGAATTCTTATATTTCTGTTGCAGGTCAGTCAGGTGCCATCTATTCTGCCAATGCTCTCCAGCTGAATTACTGAGTTGGCAGTGTGGTCAGAAAATTTCCCATACAATTTGGCACCGTCTGTGGGAAAGAAAGAAGAATAGATGGCCAATGACGGACAGAAGGATCAGACTGGAGACAACGCTCCTGCTGGGAATGGGAGATCTATCAACCTCGACGTTGAAGGGGACAATAGCAACACAGAAACTCATGACCAGAGTCACGGAGTGAAAGACACCGGCCAAGAAGGTAACGTACCAAAGACAACAAATCGAAGCAGATACTACAACGAAGATGACCTCCAGGTATAGAAGGATAGATACATACGGAGGAACGAAGACCCTTCCAGAAGGGATACAAAGACAGGGGGCATGAGCGCTCCCAAGGAGGTAACATTCAAGTATAGAAGAACTCATCCTGAGTGAGGAGATCCCGGATTGCAGATCCTGGATCCCGAATCCGAGAAGACATGATCTCAGCCTAGACAAGTAGGCCTGAGAAGATGAGAGCTCAACCTAAGTGAGCAGATCCCGGATTCCAGATCCCAGATCCTAGAAGACATGATCTCGGCCTAGATGAGTAGGTCCGAGAAGAAAAGAGCTTAACCTGAGTGAGCAGATCCAAGATTCTAGCAGACAAGATCTCGGCACTTAAGTCCGAAAAGAGAAGAGCTCAGTGAGCAAATCTCAGATCCCAGAAGATAAAAAAGAAAATACACAAGGTTAGACTGCAGTTAGCCAGGTTGAAGACCTTTTATAAGGTTCGCAAAGGAGTATGTGGAAGCCATGCAGAGGGTAGAGAGAAGAAGAATATGTTTACCACTTGTTGAAATTTGTAGCAATTTACAAGTTGGTTAAACTGAGATGATGTTTACCACTTGTTGAAATTTGTAGCAATTTACAAGTTGCTTAAACCGAGATGATGTTTACCACTTGTTAAAATTTGTAACAATTTACAAGTTGGTAAAACCGATATAATGTTTACCACTTGTTGAAATTTGTAGCAATTTACAGGTTGGTTAAACCGATATGATGTTTACCACTTGTTGAAATTTGTAGCAATTTACAAGTTGGTTAAACCGATATGATGTTTACCACTTGTTGAAATTTATAGCAATTTACAAGTTGGTTAAACCGAGATGATATTTAACACTTGTTGAAATTCTGTGTGAATTTACAAGTTGAAGTTAAACCGAGATCATAGTTAACACTTGTTGGAATTCTGTGTGAATTTACAAGTTGAAGTTAAACCGAGGTCATATTTAATACTTGTTGAAATTCTGTGTGAATTTACAAGTTGAAGTTAAACCGATGTGATATTTAACACTTGTTGAAATTCTGTGTGAATGTACAAGTTGAAGTTAAACCGAGATGATATTTAACACTTGTTGAAATTCTGTGTGAATTTACATGTTGAAGTTAAACCGATGTGATATCTAAACACTTGTTGAAATTCTGTGTGAATTTACAAGTTGAAGTTAAACCGAGGTCATATTTAATACTTGTTCAAATTATGTGTGAATTTACAAGTTGAAGTTAAACCGATGTGCTATTTAACACTTGTTGAAATTCTATGTGAATTTACAAGTTGAAGTTAAACCAAGATGATGTTTAACACTTGTTGAAATTCTGCGTGAATTTACAAGTTGAAGTTAAACCGATGTGATATTTAACACTTGTTGAAATTCTGTGTGAATTTACAAGTTGAAGTTAAATCGAGATGATGTTCAACACTTGTTTAAACCGATGTGATAGTTAAACACTTGTTGAAATTCTGTGTGA